GACTGCAAATTGGTGCAGCCAATTTGGAAAGCAGTATGGAGATTTCTTGGAAAGCTGGGAATGGAGCCACCATTTGACCCAGCTATTCCCCTTCTCGGTCTATTCCCTAAAGACCTAAAAAGAGCATGCTACAGGGACACTGCTACATCGATGTTCATAGCAGCACAATTCACAATAGCTAGACTGTGGAACCAACCTAGATGCCCTTCAATGGATGAATGGATAAAAAAAATGTGGCATTTATACACAATGGAGTATTACTCTGCATTAAAAAATGACAAAATCATAGAATTTACAGGGAAATGGATGGCATTAGAGCAGATTATGCTAAGTGAAGCTAGCCAATCCCTAAAAAACAAATGTCAAATGTCTTCTTTGATATAAGGAGAGTAGCTAAGAACAGAGTAGGGTCGAAGAGCATGAGAAGAAGATTAACATTAAACAGGGATGAGAGGTGGGAGGGAAAGGGAGAGAGAAGGGAAAATGCATGGAAATGGAAGGAGACCCTCAGAGGTATACAAAAGTACATACAAGAGGAAGTGAGGGGAAGGGGAAAAATAATACAAGGGGGACAAATGAATGTCAGTAAAGGGGGCAGAGAGAGAAGAGGGGAGGGGAGGGGAGGGGAGGGGAGGGGGGATAGTAGAAGATAGGAAAGACAGCAGAATACAACAGACACTAGTATGGCAATATGTAAATCAATGGATGTGTAACTGATGTGATTCTGCAATCTGTATATGGGGTAAAAATGGGAGCTCATAACCCACTTGAATCAAATTGTGAAATATGATATATCAAGAACTATGTAATGTTTTGAACAGCCAACAATAAAAAATTAAAAAAAAAAAAAAAGAATTAGAAAGAAGAAATTAGAAAATTTTCAACACTGAAAATTGATAAATATTTAAGGAGAAGGAAATGCTTACTATCCTGATTTGAGCATTGCATATTGAATACATACACTGAACTCTCACACTGTACCCTATTAACATGTACAGGTTTTATGTATCAATTTAGAAAATTGAGCTGAGGTTGCAGCTCTGTTGTGGAGAACTTGCCTAGTGTTCACAAGGCCTTGGGCTTGAGACTCAGCCTTGCCAAAGAAAACAAAAAACAAAACCTAATGAATAAATTGATGTGGGGATATTAAATAAACATTTAAGATAAAAAATAAATCCACAAACTCATGCCTTAAGGAGAAAAGCACTATACTAAATGCTGTCATTTTCTTCTGTAAGTTCTCAATCTATTTTAAAGTTTTTCTTTCTATATTATGCATACAAATATGCTCATATACTTTTATGCAAATGAGTGAGTACAATCCCATGCACATCATAAATCCTCTCTGAATTTGGTGCAGTATTATTTTCTAGCTTGTCCCCCCTTATGTTCTCACTCTATAATTCCTGTGGACTTCCTGCAGATGACTAACTCAATGCACTGTATGCATTTCAAAGGATGCACAATATTTCATAATGGGGCTGTGCTACTCATACTTTCAAATTTATTCTCATTAATTCAGTATTATTTCAATGTTGCAAAAAAAATGGAGCTATTAAGTTCAAACTAGTCCTGCTCAACCAGAAGCAATTCTCTCCCTCCCTGTACCCCAGAGGACACTGAGCAAGTTTTGCAGACATTTTTGGCTGTCACATGCTGGAGTCATGAGAGGTCAGGGATACTGCTCACCATCCCACAATGCACAAGACAGATTCCACCACAAAGAATCACTTGTCCCAGAATGTCTACAATGGGGAGATGGAGAGACCTTGAATTACGAATATCTGTCCTTTTGGTGTTTGAAGCTGTCTTCAGATTTCAGTTTAAAAATTCTAACCACAACCAATGGGTTTGGTTTGGTTAGGGGCTTTTCCTAAGGCTGGGTGTTGTGGAAAAAATATTTCTCAATATTTTCTTAAACTATTACTGACCTTGAGCATATGTTTGTATATTTCATTGCTATTTTGACTTCCTCTTATAGTTATCTGCAGTATTAGTATTAGTATTGTGAGTGATTTTTACAAATTATTGTTTCTCTATTAGCTTCTCAGGTGATACTTTTGACCATAAAAATCATTTAAATTTTTTAGTGGTACATATCTGTCTTCTTACATCTGAGTTTCTTGCTTTATGAGGTTCTTGCTCACTGTAGATTTTTAATATAATTTCTAGATATTCATCTAAAATCAACTGTGTGTTTTTAAACTCAGGTCTTTACCTGTTTGATGATTGTTAACATGTGAGGTAGGGGCCAACTTCATTTTCCTCCAGACAGTCATTTATGTGAACATTTAATCCACAGTCTAATCTTCTACTAAATTTAAATGAAACTTTATCATATATGAAATGTTGACATACACTCAGACTCAATTCTTTATTCATTCAACAAGTGATAGCAGAGAATTTATTGTCAGAATATTATAGGAACATTGCATGTTATATTCTGATCTGCCAAATATTTTGTCAATGTAATTATTAATTCATGTTGATATCTTGGACTTGTTCCTGCTTTATGTCTTGTTTCAGTTAATTTTGCTTTTGTATTGCGAGGGATGGAACTGGACCCTTGGTCATACTGGCAAGGGCTCTACCACTGAGCCACACTGCCACCTAATTTCAGCTAGATCTTGAGGCTCCATTCAATTTGTTGAACACAGCTGTTTGGAAGCAGTTCTATGGAGCTTAGTTGCATTCTCCTTGCATTTTGTGAATTGCCTAACTTACTACTGTCACATTTTTCTCTAGTAATTGCAGATAGACTTCTTTACCTTTGTGAAAATAAAAGGTGAACAGAGCAGATGAAGTCTCTGCTCACCTGTATCTGGTTTTATCAGGTCATGGACTGAGAACAGAGAGAAACATGTGTTCTAACACAATGCCTGCAGCCATGGGAAGGGAGCAAAAGGACAGGAGGGTCATGACATGTGCATGGGTTTGTGTAGAACAGCTGGGGAGACCTCTGCTCGTTGGCTGAAGGCCAGAATCAGGGCCAGGGTGCACCTGTGGGCTTCGGTTAAAAAAATTAAAATCTACACCCCCCGAAAAAAAACAACAAAGGTATCACATGAGAAAAATGAGGAAGAGGACTCCTCAGCCACCAGATAAAAACCAACTGGTCAAGGAGACCTGGAAGAGGCACAGGAAAAACAAGGCATTCTCTTTCATATAAAATCATGAGAAGATTCTGTTGTACTTTTATGGAATCTTTTGAGAATTGTTAATTTATTCCCCTTTGTCCTTTTATCTTTGGATCATTTCTATATCACTTTGAAACCATAAAGACATCTCTATTTTTGACTTTGGATGTGTTTATTTCTGCACCTTTCTTATTTTGCTGGGTGCCCAGGAGCCAGACTGGGCTGGAATGCTGCTGGAACCAAGGGAGCGGTTTCCTCCTGTTGGTTTTTCGGGGACCCTGAGCTGATTACCTCACCCCTCCCACCCCGTGTCCATTTCATCCCACTACTTTCCTGTCTATTGACAACTTTCCCCATATGTGTGTTTCTTTAAATGCAGGGTGTAATCTAGCAAAACGTAAGAGCATTTGCCCTGTGTTTATTTGTCCAGGGGAGACTTAAAAAATGGATATTCTCTCTGCCATTTCTACATTAGGGGAAAGGTAATTTGATCTGGCCAGCTGGCATTGTATACACAAGGAGTCTAACAGTGTGGTGTGAAGGTCAGTGGCCATAAGGGTGATGGTGTGATGTGTATGCATGTGTGCCAGCCTTAGGGCAGGGCACTGGGACTCAGGGTGATGGTCATAGAACATAGTTCAACTCAACAGTAAAGGGTAGCAAGTAGCATGTCCATTTCAACTCAAAAAGTTGCTTAGGGAAGGAATTTAATAATATGCAAGAGGGTACGGTGTGGAGGAAGAGCTCCCTGTTATGCAGATTCAGCTCCATCAAGGAGGCCCCTCCTTCTTCAGCATCTTCTGACACTATCTCTGATCACTCTTCCTCTTTCTCATTTACCTCTTCACCCTGGCCCCTCAATGCCCTTGGACATCCAAAACACACTGCTTCCTCAGGCCTTTGCACTGGCAATTCATTCTTCCAGGTAAAATTGCCTGCTGGCCTGCTGGCTCCTGCCCTGTCCCCCGAGGACTCTGTTCAATCATCACATTCTCTATTGAGCTTCTGGTCACCTACAAAAAATAGCAGTCCTAGGAGCTGGGGATGTGAGTTATTTCTAGAGCCCTTGAGCTCCTGTTTAACACAGGAAACCCCCTTGGTAAAATCCCAGTAAAACACACACACACACACACACACTTAAATACATTTAACACTTAAATACAACCTCTTATCTGCTGTTTCCATTTTATCTGCCTTTGTTTTTATCATATCTGCTTCATCATCAGGCATGTAATGTGATTATTTCTTTTTAAAGCAACTTTTTAAAGTTATGATTAATATTCAGAGGACCATATGTGTTTGATGTGTATACTTCAGTGAGTGGGCACACATGCTGATATATGCTATATATCAAGAGCTCAAAAATGCAATAGACTGTGATTTGCCTATGTGCGTACATTCTTTGCCCATCATTTGGATGAGGAAATTTTGTTATGGAGGCCTGGACAGTGCCTGGGACATGGCCAGCATTCTGCATGTGCTCCTCCATGCTAAGAAGTAATTTTTCATTAAAACTATACAATGCATGAACTCCTTGGGAGAGGCTTAGAATGAGACAGGAATTCATAACAATATTGACCAGATCCATGATACAACAGAAATTAATTTATTTAGTGGAAAATACAAGTTGTAACATTTCAGCCATATCAGTAGTGTCCATATGTGTGATGATAAGTAATATTATTCTTCTCTTTTTGGTAGTCATATCCACCAGATGGAACCAGGAAATAATACAAGGGTCTCAGAATTCCTTCTGCTGGGATTTTCAGAGGAACCAGAACTGCAGCCCCTCATCTTTGGGCTGTTTCTCTCCATGTACCTGGTCACTGTGCTGGGGAACCTGCTCATCATCCTGGCCATCATCTCAGACTCCCACCTGCACACGCCCATGTACTTCTTCCTGTCCAACCTGTCCTTTGTGGACATCTGCTTCACCTCCACCACCATCCCCAAGATGCTGGTGAACATCCAGACCCAGAGCAAGGCCAATACCTATGCAGGCTGCATCACGCAGATGTACTTTTTTTTGGTTTTTGTAGAGTTGGATAACTTCCTCCTGGGTGTGATGGCCTATGACAGGTTTGTGGCCATATGTCACCCACTGCACTACACTGCCATCATGAATCCCAGGCTCTGTGGTTTGCTAGTTCTGGTGTGCTGGATCCTGAGTGTCCTGCATGCCTTGTTGCAAAGCTTAATGGTGTTGCGACTGTCCTTCTGCAGAGACATAGAAATCCCCCACTTTTTCTGTGAACTCAACCAGGTGGTCCAACTTGCCTGTTTTGACAACCTTCTTAATGACATAGTGATGAATTTTGCACTTGTGCTCTTGGCTACTTGTCCCCTCGCTGGCATTCTTTACTCCTACTCCAAGATAGTCTTCTCCATCCGTGCAATCTCTTCAGCTCAGGGCAAGTACAAAGCCTTCTCCACCTGTGCCTCCCACCTCTCTGTGGTCTCCTTATTTTACTGCACAGGCCTGGGTGTGTACCTCAGTTCTGCCGTATCCCACAGCTCACGCTCCAGTGCAACAGCCTCAGTGATGTACACGGTGGTCACCCCCATGCTGAACCCCTTCATCTACAGTCTGAGGAATAAAGATGTAAAGAGGGCCCTGCTAAGGCTCTTTGGAGGGAAAGTGTAAAAGATCCATTTCCCTAGGGCTTCAGAAGCATGTGCTCATGACTGCAGGCAGCAAAGCCTAGAGCCAGAAATAGTTGTTCTTTGATGAGATTGTGAAGGTGCAACTTTCTCCTTCCATTTGCTTCAAGGAGTTCTCATAACTCGATTTCCACCTGTCTATACTTCCAAATGTCTTTATTAAGCTTTGTGTTCTGATATCCATCAGGTTTTAGCCTTGTTTTTTTTTTTTTTGTTCTGATTCTCCACAATTATTCCAAATATTGGAGCAGAAGAATTTGTAAATTTCCACTTATGTCACAGACCATGAAGGACCTTTAAAGAATAAGCAATTCTTCCATGGCATAGTTTATTGAATAATATTTCTTTCATTTTACTGTTAAAATAGTCATGAGTTTTACTGTGCCCAGGGAAAAAAGGTAGAGTTGACTAAGGACACAATTAATGCAATTTGTCATCGAGGTAAATCAAAGTTCAGTTTTTCTTTTTTGTATCTCTCATTCCTTTGGATATCACGACCTGGACTCCTCTGCTTGATAATGTAGACTTTAGCACAGTAGTGTTTTGAAGAACTGGTCACTGTGGTTTACAAGAGTAATTTATTTAATTTTTCAATTGACACAATATTTATGAGCTGTACATTTTTGCGTTATAATTTTTAGTGCATTACAATTATATATAACATCAGGGATCATTTTAGCATAATCATACAAATATAAAATATAATTTGCTCAACTTTGGCCCCAAATCTTTCCAGTTTCATCCCCAGTTCTCCTTTATTTATTAATAGGTGTTTTAAAAATTAGCTTAATATAATATGAAATTGACCAAACTATACTATGTGCATGTATGAACACACCACAGTGAATCTCATTTTATGTGTATCTATAGTGTAGTGTGTTTTGATTCATGTGTACATGAGGCAAGGGTCAACCCTTGATAGTATATTCATCATTTTAGACAACAATTATTTCTTTATAGTGAATACATTGAAAATCCTCTCTTCTAAGAATTTTGAGATATATTATGCATTATTGTTAGCCGCATTTACCCCACTGTGCCATAGAATAAGAGAACATATCCTTCCAATGCCTGGCTCTGACATTGCTCTCATAGGCAGGATCCTGCTTCTACAACAGCTTGGTGTCTATGACACCTTCCAAAGTTTTGGGCTAGAAAGGCCCCCAGAGACATAGACATAGCATACACGAATGATAATACTCATTCTTGGTGTTATCAGTGGTGAGTTGGTATCTACTCACCAATTGTTACGGGTGGTTATTTTTATACTCTAGATAGCATCTTTGAAGTGATAACAATATACAAAGGTTAAACAGATTGTGATTCTTAGGTTTCATGCACCAGGAAAGGAGGATTGGACATGCCTATTAAAGGGTGATAGTAGGGATCTTGGGTGATGGAACTGTTCTCTATTTTGATTTATCAGTGTTGATTTCATGGGTGTGATAAAGTCCACTAGTTTTGTGGGATGCTACAGTTGGGGGAACTGAGGAAAAGGTGCATGGATCTCTTTGTGTCATTTCTTGCACATGCATGCTCATCTATGATTGATCACAAACAAAATGTAATTAAAACCTGTAAATAAGAAAAGTTAAGAATACAGGAATAAGCTTTTCTCCAGGAATGGGAACCCTGACATCTTTCCTTTTTCTCCTTGAGCTTGAATTTCTTTCCTAATCCCCCCACATATTTTTCCACAATCTCATGCTTTTGTAAGGTGTGTCAAGCTTAAAAATCACCTTAATAAATGTTCTTATGATAAAAACATATCAATTAAAAATGAGTGTCATCATTCTTGTATGTGGTGTCTGTGTTGTTCTAGAAGATGTGGGACTGGGTGGGTGTGCAGGATTCTGTGATGAAGACTGGTTTTCACATAGTGTAAAATTGTTGGAGAAGGAAAAAACACCAACACCAACACCAGACTAAGAATATTGGACACCTAATACTCCACTATCATTGCCTCACCTGCTTTGGGGGTGAGGGGCAATGCAGTGCAGACAGAAACTGTAATGGGGCTTCAGAGAAAGGGAAATTCTCCAACTCCTCCCATCCCTGACCATCCACTCGCTCTCCTCACCTCAGCTCAGATGCATCTTCTCTGGAAATTATCTCCTTTTACTCCCTATCAAGACTAAATCTTATCCCCAGGTGAGTTATTTTATGACACTGGATACTTTTATTTCCATTTTATGGTCATGCAGTGCTTTCATTAAATTTTTACTTAAGAAGTTTTATAGATATATTTTATATTTTAGTAGTACATTATAAACATCATATTTGGGTCCATTTTTATATAATTATATAAAAGAACTATCTGTTGCTCCACTTCTGTCCCTAGTACTTCCCCTTTCCCATCCTCA